GGGAGCAGACCAGCCCGGGCGGCGGCGTGGCATCCTTCAGGCTGAGTGTCTGGGGCTGCAAGGCGGACAAGTCAGGGCACCGTCACCTCGGGGACTCTGGGTTCCCCGCCGTCCTCCCGACCCGCATAGGTTTTGCAGCTTTTCCTCCTGTCATCGTGCCGGCGCTGCCTTATTCTCCTCTCTGTTCGGCCTCGGCCACTCGTAGCTTTTAGTTTCCTTTTCCCTTCTTGCACTTGCTGATTTTATAAAGGCGAGCGAATCAGGCGGCTATCCCAGACCAGCATCTCGCTCCTCCCTTGAGCCCATTGACTTTTTTCCCCAGGGCAAGCTGTTGATGGTGAAGCTGCCTGATCCGCGGGCTGCGAGCCCAGGGGTCCCGAGCCCGGAGCTTTCAGGGTGCCCAGTGCTGGGCGAGGAGTGCTACCTTTTAGGCTGGGACAGGCTCGGGGTGGCAGGAGGAGAAGGCCTCGCCTTCATGGGGGCAGGTCCTGGACCCCTTTCTATCCTGTGTGACCGTCCTTTCCGCCCTGCACTGGCCCTGGAGTTCACTTGCTAAGATTTAGGCGAGCTCTTTTCCTTTTTCTGCAAGTTGTGTCAAGTTTTAAGTTCTTGCCGTAGGACACCCCTGGAAAGGAGTATACTCCAGAGTATTGCTCACCTTTTTTTTCCCCCAGTGGAGGAGATCCGTGATTATGCTTTTCATTCAGTAACGCTCTGAGTCATTAAAATATTCTGGCTGCCAAGTCCTTGGGATCCAAGTTCTTAGTATTGGAGACGCTCCCGCCCAGCACGACTCAAGTGTTTCAAAATCCGTTTGAAATGCCCTTCAAACTTTGTAATAGATCATCCCTCTCATTTTCTAAGGGAGAATTTAATCTCTACAACCCTTCCAAGACTTTCTACCCTCTAATGCTCCGGTCACTCCTCTTCTCGCCCATGTTTGCTCCAGTTTCTGCTTATAAATTCTGTCGTGAGGGGAAATCGTGTTGATTTCATGAACTCTGCAAGTTAGACATACCATCTGCTACCATGACCATGATTTACTCTGACTCGATTTACTTTTGACACAAAAGCTAGGAGGTGGTGACTGATTTTGTTTTTCTAAGATTGTGGAAAAACCTCCCCTATTTAAGGTTAAGAAAATAGAGCACCTTCTATGATAGACAGGCTACGTATTTGCAATTTATTAAGAAGTTTGAAGACTGTATAATTTGAAACGCCCATCCGAGACTCATAATTTGAACATAATAGTTACACATTCATCTGTAAATATAAACTTTGACTATAACAAGATTCTTTTTCCCCCCCTAATTTTTAAACTTTTCCAGGTAGAATTACAATATTACTCAAGATTAGTCATCAGATTTTGACAAATCACAGAATATTACCTGTGTTTTATCCAGTTAAACTTCGTTTTTTAAAAATGAGCGTTATTGAAATCATGTCTGTATTACAGTTTGTAAATATTAAATGTGCTATTATTGATATATGGCTGTCCTAGAATTTTTTTTTATTCTTAATGTATGGATAACACTTTGGATGCACGTCCTTTTCTTCCCTTTGATCCATGTACTTTTTAATTGTTTTACTGTTTTTCACAAAACATATCTTTATCCACTAATGTTGATGTAGGGAAAGTACTGTACCTAGGAGAACTATATCCTGGATCAAACTGTGGCAGAGATGGTTCTAGAACTTGGATGGTTGAGAAGCTCCACATTCTGTACCAAGAACTGGGTGCTATTGTTCAGTCACCTGTTGATGCGAAAACAACTGATGGTACAGAGCAGGAAGTTGCTATTTAACAGTTCATCTGATAGCATTTCCTTCCATAATTTGTCGTAGGTCGCTGTACTGTGATCTTTCAGGGATTAGTACGCAGAAGAAATTTGCTTTGTATCATTGCTTAAAGTTCTAGTGATTTCTTACTTTGTGTATTAAATAATTTTAAGATTAAACAAACAAACAAAAAGAAGCTTTCTGGAATAAGCCACTTAGTGTTCTGTTCACTTGGCTCTGTAATTCTTTTTCTGCCCAGTTTGTGTAGCTCCTGGTCGACCTAGAATTATGGATGGAAGAGAATCTTGGCTGAGTTCTCATGCATACAAGATGATTATATTCTTTATAGGTAGGGCAAGTATCCAGATGTGCAGTTTTCATCTCTGCCAGCTAGGAGTTGTAAATAGCCTTCGTCTGCTTCTGGCTTTATTTCTCTGAATTGAATTCTCTGGGCTTGGGTTTTTGCTTGTTTCTTTGATTTTTGCTTAATAAAGTTCATTTTTTCTCTTGTTCCATTAATTTCTTGAGCATCCAAATAAGGAGCTGTTCTATTACTGCTGGCACTTTATTTGCAAAATACCCAATTTTATTCACTTAATCACCTGACAAATCTATGAGCACTGGACTAGATGTTAGTGCTCCAAGTAAAAAATATATACTCACATTCAGACTCACTTGTCTGCAAGTTCATATCATGGCTCTATCAATTGTTCATTCATCTAAGAAATGTTGCATGAGTACCAGCTGTGTACCAGGACCTTCCTGTGTACCAGGAGGTTTCAGTCAGAAGCAGGACAGGGACTTTTGCTCTCAAGTTGCTTACAATCAAGTGTTGAAGGCTGTGTCTTGGACATTGATCTCCAGGACTATACAACCTCATTGACAACTGTACACAGTTAACAATAAATAATACTGAGCAGTGAGTGATTGATGAGGAGGTGTTGTGGACCCGAAATGCTTTCAGAGTTAGTTTACAGAAATAAGGTGGACTGAAAGGAAGCAAGAAGATTTTTAGGGGAAGATAGAACAGTGTGATCAAAAATCCAGATATGCTTAAGAGACAAATTATAGTTTCAACTAGAGCAAAATACAGTCCATAAACTAGACCAGCGACATCAGCATCATTTGAGAACTTAGCTCAACTCATGGCTGGCTTTTCAGCTGGTTTTCAGAAGTTATGAGTTGCGTGGAAGGGGATTGTCCATTTTCTTTATAGAAGTAGCTGGTGGATTTGAACCATGTGCCTTTGGGTTGACAGCACAACACAGTTGGCCACCAGAGCTCCCTTGCAATCTTTAGACTTTATCAGAGACTTAATGAATAAAAAATTTGGTTGTAGAACTCAACAACCTTTGGTCTAGCAAGCTCTCCAGGAAGCTCTGATGCATGCTAAAGATTGAGAACCACCAGACTAGAGTAGAAAGTTTTTTATGTAGAAGCAGTGGAGCAGTCTGGAAAGGAATGTTGCCAATTTACAGTAGAGCGCAGGAATATCAGGCAAGGAGTTGCCTGTGGACTAGAAATTTGTTGCAGCTCAAGGACTTGTTTGGCCCATAGATATGTGTTTTTTGTTTGTGTAGTGGTGGCCTAGTGGCAAGAAGCTGTGCTGCAATCCTAAAGGCACATGGTTCAAATCCACCAGTTGTTCCACGGGAGATGGATGAGCAGTCCCTTCTTGTGTTAACTTCTCTGAAAACCTGCTGGAGGGTCAGCTATGGGTTAGTTCTGACTTGTTGGTGCACAACAAGAAGTGATGTTTAAGGGAGCTTTGGTGGCCAAGTGATAAGAAGCTAAACTGCAATCCCAAAGCTTGTGGCTTTAATCCTGCCCACGGGAGAAGGATGGGCAGTCTCCTCTGGTGCAGTTTACGGCTTCTGAAAACCTGCTGGAGGGTCAGCTGTGAGTTGTTCCAACTTGATGGTGCCTAACAACAGTGGTGTTTGGGTTGGTTTGGGGAAATTTGGGAAATTTTCAATCTTTATTAAAACTGTTGGAATTATGCTGTTGAAATCCACCAGGAGCAATGATGGAAAAAGATGTACTGCTTCCTCCTTTGTAACCTACAGCCTCCAAATACCCAGGAGGGTCAGCTGTGAGTCAGTTCCAGCTAGATGGCAGTAAGTTTGAGTTTAATGTCAAAAGAAGTAGATTTTCTATAGAAACCTGTGCTTTCCTCTTATCTGGAAATATTAGAAGATCTGGCGGAACCATGCCGCTGTATTCCATCTCATGTAGCGGTTGGTTAGAGCAGTGGACAGGTGTGCCTTCATGTGGGACAGGTGCTCTGCAGTTGACCACTATCCTCACCACTTCCTGTTGTTTTAAAAGCACCTTTACACCAAAGAAAGAAAGAAAGAAAAGCACCTTTACTCTCATTTCCTGCCAGGTCCTGTGGATAGTTGAGTTTACAACCTCTGTTGTGGGCAGTGGGAAATCAGTAAAGGGGGTGGGTAGTAACTTCATTTTTGTTTTTATGAATTCATTCAGTGAACATTGATTAAACATAAACTGTATGGCAACTTGTGCTAAATAGTGTTCAAAAATGAATGAGATACGGTCTCTCCCACAATGCAGCTTACATTATTAGAAAATTACAAAAAGAACCTTTTTAGAAGACAGTGATGTCTAAATTTGAGAACAGAGTTTGGTGACTAGTAAACTGCAACACTAAGCCCTCAAATTTAGATAGCAGCAGTGGGAATAGGGAGGGGATGGGAGAAAAAAAAATATTGTCAGTAAGAATCACCAAAACTTGAAAACAAATTGGAACAGAAAAAAACATGAAAGAGGAGAATTCAAAGGTGACAGAGAGTTTGAGTTGGGTACTATGGAATTTGTGATACCACTAGCAGAAACT